GTGTGTGTGTGTGTGTGTGTGTGTGTGTGTGTGTGTGTGTGTGTGTGAGAGAGAGAGAGAGAGAGAGAGAGATCGCGTGCGTGCGACTCCTAAGTTATTAGAGCCCAACATACTACTCACGGTACAAATAGTTTAGAAAATGTGTTTAAAAAGCTACTGGTTTGAAACCTATCGGTAATTCTATAGTTAAATTACTGTAATACTAAATATTATCTTAACAATGATAGTGATCGAAAAAAGTTTTTGAATAACTTTTTGTGTAATCTCAAAAACATAATTGTTTAGCGCACACAAATGGTGGCAGAGATCACGATGGTTTCATGTTGGCTGCCGAACAAATCTTTTAATATATAACCAGAAGTCAACGTTAAATTGTTTGTTTTAGTTGTTTAGTGCCAAGCTGCACAATGGGCGATCCGAACTCTTGTTCACAACGGTGAATCGAGCCCTAGATTTTAGCACTATAAATCAGTAAACTTACCGCTGACTCTACCGAGGAACGTTTCGTTTTAAAGCAAAGCTAATTGACGAGCTAACTGTCTTATCTTTTTAACTACTTAGTGTTTAGCAAGTAAACGTGTAAAAAAATCTAACGTACAACATTGCAAGAGTACCATGTTAGACGTCATCTAAAGTTCTTTCTAATAAGCTGTTTCCATGTAAACCTGGAATAAATCAGGAATTCTAACGTACAAAATACACATCATGGCTTAGGTTAGACATCCGTTAAAGTTCTCTAACAAGGTTTTGTTTCTCCTACGTTAATTTTCCCCACTAAAGACACAAGTAGGGCGTCTCCGCACTTCTGTCCATCCCCGAAAACGTGAAGATTCTTGAAATTAAAGTACATCCGATCACTATAGATATAAACGCCAGCAGAATGACAAGCATTTGTTTATCATTTTCTTCAGCTTTTTTTTTTGAAGTTTATATTGCTTGTTTATTATATAGTTTAATTATATATATAAAAAAGCCAACTACAATTTTATTTTTACTCGAGTACAATAAAACAATAGAACATAACATAGAAATGCACAAATGCAAATCAAGAAAATACCTTCTTCGATGTCATTCCTGGCGGCAGCTTCCAGAAGCATAACACTTGGAACAAAGTGAATCTTGTAGTCGTTTCTACTCGGTTGTCGGTTCAAATTTTGCTCAGTTTTCTTCCTCTTATTACTATACTCTTTCTCTCTCTGGCTCCACTTCTTCATTTGTTGGAGGCGTCGCTTGCGGGCATGCTTCAGCCTCTCCTGTGTGCTCATCTTCTCCACCAACGGCATCTCCGCCACAAGCTCCGAGTGATCGGCCATCTCCTATTTATAAACTTTCGACTATTCACCAACGCAGTTTTCTATTCTTTACACTGAGATTAAATAAATTATACATCTATACGAAAACTGCGTATTTTATGTTAAAATTCCACGCGTGATTTTTTTCTGAGAAATAAGACAATTAAAACAAGCAGCACGAAATTACACCGTTGTTTGGAAGTATTTCTTAGAACAAATTCTTATAGAGGCAAACAGTAACAAACCACAAGCACCGTGGATACTACAGAATAACCCGTACACAAGTCATGTGGGAGAAAAAGCCCTCTTCACAGCGTTGGACGGATAACGTTCACCAATAATACGAGTCTTACTGGGATGAACTGGTCTCCATGGTAACGTCAGCTGGATGCTGAAGAGGAAGAGTGGGTCAAGAAATATCAGTTCTGTTCTTGTGAGACCTCATTGCATTTCCTGGGCATAGAAATACTGGAAGAAAAAATAAATATATTATTAGTATAATAATAATAATATACCGTAAGGTATTTAGCATAACAATGTCAATTTTATGCGACAAAACTGACCACCCCTCTGAACACAGAAGCTTAGGCTGCAGAATCTTGTGCTTAGTTTCTTATGCTATCACAAAAAAAATGTCCGACTGCTTCCTTGGTGTGTGTTACCTTGGCCTAAGTTGGTTATTATCCCCACCTAAATTTAATCTGAGCTATTAATTTATCCCGGCGTGCCTTCCACCCTATCTCCGTCCCACCTAATGCAGGGGTTGAGCTAATCTTAAAATTATATTTCACATACCCCACACATGCAGTGAAGAAGCCAACGCCCTCTATGTGCACAGAATTTGGAAATAACTATTTCGCAAACCTTGCTTCAGTTAAAATCTCACACTAAACTAGTACTCTAAAGGATTACCCCAACCGTTATACACCAATATCATACAGATTGTGTTTTATCCAAAAAAGCTTTAGTTTCCATTCATTTTGAACACCCAAAAAGTTATCGAAAATAACTCAATTCATGTATACTATAGAAGCTTACAAATAAACTTTAGACGTGATACAAGACTTTTTATGCAGCGATCTGATAATAGCACAGACAACTGAGCTTATCATACTTTTTTTTTTTGAGTCAATGCAATAAATCAGCTGTCAGCTTAAATAAAAGCGGAAAGTGGTGGGTGAAAACAAGAAGCATACACGAAACGAGAATAGTCGATACTTGTACTCAATACAGCATACCTCATACGCTAAATACGGCGTTACGTAGTGCGCTGTTATTAAAACTTGCACGTAAAGTATAAAAATTTGGACACCGTAACATTGTGGTGTTATTAAAACCTGCACAGCATAGAAAATACATTTTCGATACCGTTAATTACTACCGTAATTAAAACCGGTTGTATATTTAAAAATAAATCTCAATGTCCATCACATTACTGTTATGTTTTTTGTCATTTATAGTCACGAAAACAAGATCTTAGGTGGCAACATTTTCATAAACCTCCACTCATGAACACACACACACACCATAAAACACATACAACTTACTTTAAAAAAAAAATAAGTTCAACATCCTCGCAACGATCTTGTCAGAGATATACAGCATTCTTCCAAATGATTCTACAGAGTGAAACACTAGAAATGTGTGTATATATACACACACACGCGCACATGGCACACTAAGCCTAAATCAGATACAGCGGTTAAACACGCTAAGCCTTTGTTACAGGCAGTCTATACACTATTCGAGTGCTCTGTAAACGAAGACTAGGGTTCCAAGATTAATGTTTATGTTTCATGTTTGACATGCACATTGTTTAACATAAGGTGCCTTCCTTGATAGATAAACGAATTATCAACATTCATCTCAACAGAAAACATTTACCAACCATGTGTTAAATACACCAATACTTTTATGAATGGCGCGAAACGTTTTCAAAATAACACAGAATATGCCTAAGATAAAAAGCCAGTTGCATTACTATAATGTACACACTCTCTATATCGATTTAGATTATCAAGACATGATTCTTATTCTTGGAACTGTTGGTTAGAGTTTCAGAATATTCCTCACGACACATTCTAGCGGCCGAGGTACATAACGTTTTTCGGTAACATTGTATCATGTATGATTCAAGAAGTTTCTCACGTCTCTCATTTTGTATGGTTACTTGTGGGAATAGATATGGAAGACTTGTAATGTATGCATTTGACTCACACTAATCCTCTGAGAAAATTCAAATTTCCCCCAGTAAAATAACCACAGGGAACAAATAGCTAGGGACTAGTTAATGAACTTGAGAATACTCGGGGAAAAGAATGAGGGTCATCAAATCAGAAAAGAACTTTTCACTGATTTTTTAAAAGAAAATTTCCAATCAGGTGTTGAATTATTTGTATGAGGACTGCATTTAATACGATTTTGGAGAGAACATTTCGTGTACACTTTGTAACAAACATAATTTTTATATTTATTTTGTAATGAGTTGTCATTCTCCGGGCTTCGAAATTTATTTCCATGTTTGTGTATGAACCCTAACATAACTTGTCCTAAGTTGGTTTTGACCTCAACGCATTTATAAAACTTTTCACAAAAACTAATTTTCGAAGTTCCATTATCAGAAGTTTTACGTGCTGAATCTGCACACACTACTGGTTTGAATGAGAAGCTTGAAAAAGTACATTCATATACACAATTCTACAGGAAGCTCTTTTGTTACCACTTCATATTTATCCTCAGCTAATCAACTGTTAACAGAGTTGAACGACTTCAAAGCTACGGTATTACAGCTCATTTCTTCAACTGTTTGTAACAGTAACGTAGCAGCAGTCAGTGACCTATGAGGTCAGTTGCACCATGTGCATTGAACAGCACGTAGTGTTCTAAAAACCCAATGATGTCCATTGTGCAAGTCGTTTAAAAACCTTTTAGAACTATACGTATAATTACAAAATTATGGTACTTACATTAATGATGGTGATCACGCTCTTGCATCGATTTTCCTCGTGCTTCAATATGTTTTTTAAAAAAATTAGAACAACTGTAAAAAACCTCAAATCTAATACAACTGCGTGTCACGAGTGAAATTAACTTTTAACTATCTAGTTATTACTTACGTAACTTTAAAAAATATATATTTAAAATCGTCATGGTTACTATATTTGCAGACTGTGGTCACTGTTCAATAACATCTTGACACATAAGCAAATTAAACGACTTCTGCAGATATCATGTTTACAAGATGATTCCTTTATACAGTTGTCGATATTATCACACTCTGGTGGCGAAGTTAACAAATGCAATTGTTTCGATAAATCAAACAAGAGGTACGAGTCCTTTTACGTTCTTATATTTCAGCGGTATTATGAAGTAGTGGTAAGTTTATGCATTCGGATAATTCGTCTGAAGAAAAATAAATTCAAACTTTAAACTGAAATTTAACTTCAACGATCCTTTATATTCAGGTATAGTCGACTATACTTCTGAATTACTGGCATGAGGAAAGGCAGCCAGCCAGCAGCACCAGCCGTCACGAGATTTATTAGGCTCTTTGAAATAAAAAAACGGGATTGATTGCAATTTGATAGAGCGATCACAACTGAAAACGCGGAGCGCGTTAAGCGCCTTCAAGCCTCGAACCTTTGACTCTTCAATCCGGCAGCCTAACACGCTACTTCCAGTTTTGTTGTTTCAGCATCCTAAAGCCCTCTGATGGCGATTCAACCAACTATATGGATCTTTAATATTTTTTAAACTGTGGTAGCAAATTTCGTTGTTATTGTTGTTGTTTTTAAATTAAGTAGTTAATTCGAAAGCGAAATAGATCGCTTGAGTTTTATTTCTCGTGTACATATATTAATGAATATCAGTTTCCCAACATTATGAGACATTCGAGTTTGTTTCCTCATTTTGAACTGATGGAAAGCAGCTAGTCAACAGCACTCGCCGCCATCTCTTAGACTACTGTTATTGAATAATCAAGTTTGAACTTCACTCTTATAACATGAGACGTAAACATGGACCCCCGGATTCATTATCCGGTACGCTAACCACTAGGCCACGCCTGGCCTACGACACTGCAAGTTTGAAATCAAGAATACGCGACAATTATCAATAGCCCAAAGACTATTGTAGCTCGAAATAGATATATTCACTTCCTAACCTAAAATGCGGCTAGTTTTTGAATAAGTCATATTTTACCACGTATTAAGATAAGTATTTTAACTGTTGGATGTTGATGGTATGAGAACAGCGTGAACATTTGGTTTGTTTGTTGGTAAGCAAAAACCTACACAATGGGCTATCTGTATTCTGCCTACTGCAATAACAGAAATCCGAGTTTAGCATTATAAGACCTCTGACTCGTCGCCGAGCCACAGGAGGGCTTGCACATTTCGAACCTATATCATTAAAAATTAAAATTCAATCATTCATAATAATAACAGCTCTACTATTTAAAAACATTTGTAGTTCCTAAAATGTGTAAATATAGAACATTGAGTCATTAAGTTCCTGCAGTAACATACTTACGTCATTAGATAAATATATTAATCCAAAACGTTGTACATTGTACAACTCGAAAAATTCTCATTTTACTGGTAATTTAGTTTGTGATGATATTAAAAAAACATTACAATGTAAATTAGTTATAACATATACGTGTTGATGTTGTACACATGTGCCAGTGTACATCGCAACATTCGGATTTACATTTCGTTGTGACCTAAAGAGTTTTAAGTTTTTTTGTACATTAAAAGTGAAACACATTAAACGGCACAGTCTTTTCCTTCTATAACTGTACAAAGGTCAGAAGAAGGTTGTACAAGTTTTGATGACATAGTTTGTGGCCAACAAATAAACTTCCCTGCCACAGCTAAGCCTTGGTTTCCTCATTACCAACTGATAGCTGCATTTCGCTTCCTCTGCACTATACTCAGCTTCTGACACCGAGCACAGATAAACGTAGGAATACATTTTCATCTATTATATTTGGAAATAAAAATTTTCTCAATTCATTCTTCGAACCCAATCCGATACGCTTATAAATTTAGAAAGTTTTTCTTCTTTCTTTCTGGATTTAGTTACATACGCTTTCAAGTGAAATCTAAAAATTGATAGGTCGGTTCGTGTCATTTTTATACTTTGTAGTAAGAATGATAAAAATTAAGAGTAAAAAAAAAATCTTAACTTTGAGATTTGTTACATCCACCTTTTTTTTTAATCAAAACTAGGTTCTTGAAAAGAAAAGTACGAAAACAACATTTTATATTTTAATACAACTGTATATGTCCGAAAACAACATTTTATATTTCAATACAACTGTATATTTCCGAAAAGTACGAAAACAACATTTTATATTTTAATACAACTGTATATGTCCGAAAAGTACGAAAACAACATTTGATATTTTAATACAACTGTATATGTCCGAAAATTTACCAAATTATATTTTCCTTTAAAAGTTATGC